AAAAAAAAAAAAAAAAAAAAAGCTATTCGCATAAGTTACTCATGGACTTTGATTGGTGAAATTTGTAAATGAGTTTTACTTTGCTAATTTTTTATCAATACGCTAACATCCAAACAAATCGGTTGTACCTCGTCTAACAATAATGATGAAAAAATATTCGAGGTGAAAAAAAAAGAGGATTTTGAAAAAAATTACAATGACTAATAATAATGCAAATATTAAAATTAGTGTGTAAGTAGATGATTGTTGATTGTGCCAATAGTGAATTATAGGAATTGTGTAAGGTGATTTATTTTTTTCTTGAAATCTTTATGCATGGCATTGGTGAGAGAAAAACACGACTATGTTTGTTAGAGATAAAAGAAAGAAAGAACAAATGTTTTGAGAATTGTACTAAACTAATTGGACTGAGTGATTAGGTGAAAAGGATTGGTTTGGTTGGTCTTAAGAAAGAAGATTATCAAAACCAGTATTTCACCAAGTGGAAAAATGTAAGATAAACAGTAAGCAATAAGCTCCAAGATTAAATATCTTCAAAGTGATAAACAATTAGGCTCTTTCTTATTTTCATTCATATACAGGTTTGAAGTTCTTGTAAGCTATGACAGCATAAAAAGGATCCGACCCGGATAACAAACCCATCATCCCTTTAATCCGACCGAAAATCGAGTTACTTTCATCCCCTTTAGTATTAGGTAATTTACGAATAGCTTGAGGCTGAGTGAAACCCTCTACACACTGAAAATACTCCACGACCAATTGCACGCGGCTATACGCTGTCCCATCTCTCCATGCGCTTACAGCTTTCTCGTAAAACAACCGATTACTGAAGCTGACTATGAAAACTCCTCCGGGCCTCAGTATTCGAAAAATCTCAGCAAATACCTGAATTAGAATGAAGTTGTTCAATCAGTACCACACATAAAGCACCAATAATGTTAGACACTTGGACTCAAAGTAGAATCTAAAATCACCTCTCCAAACTATCTTTTCTTGGGAGGGTTCGAGGGGTTTTTTACCGTTAGATCAATACAAACACATACCCAGTTGAACTGTAGTACCCTTTTCTTGGACTATAAACAAACAAGATCACAACTATACACTTTCACAAATCACAACCACAAATTTACTCTGTTCTTCAAGAAAATTGAAACATAAGTTCATTTTTTTTTACCGGTAGATCAATACACACACATACCCAGTTGAAGTGTACCCTTCTTGGACTATAAGCAGACGAAGATCACAACTTTACACTTTCAAAGCAACAAATTTACTCTGTTCTTCAAGAAAATCGAAACAAAAGTTCTTTTTTTTTTTTATCCCAATAAATTGCAGACCTTTTCAGGCTGCTGGAGATACTGCACGCTCACGGTGCACAAAACAGCATCAAAACAGTGACCCTCCATCTCAAACTCCTGTTCCTTGTTCAAATCCTTGACGAAAAAACAATTCAACCTCGGATTTCTCGCAAGCTCCTGGGCATTAAGCCCATGGCCCACCACTTTCCTGTACTCGACTTCCTCAGGCAAGTGGCTTACCCACGAGCTCATGAGATCCAAGATTTCCATCTCCGGCCTCAGTGTTTCCCTGTAAAGATCAGTCAGATTCAAGATGAAGTTTTTATCGACGTGGGTTACGAATCGAGGGTACGCGTAGAAATCCCTGTCAGTATTGTTGTTCAGCTTTGTTCTGCCTTGTTGGGTGAGGGCCAGCCGTTTGATTTTGCCGGCCGTTCGATTATCTGCAGGCGAGTTTTGGTGGCTGGAGATGATGATAGGGAGCGAAGGTGAGGGTGGTGATTTTGAGCTTTTTTGATGAGAAGGGTAGTGCCATTGTTGGGGACTGTGGAGAATGGTTAGCATGAATTTTGCTGAAATTTTGTCCACGGGAAAAACTGAGCAAAGTGGATAATTTGGTATGTTCTGCTCTAGTTAAAAACTAGCCAATGGTTGGCCCAATTGCATAGGTGGTGTTGGCTAAATTGAAGTGTTAACTTCTTCTTCTTCTTCTTTTTTCTTTTTTTAAATAAAAAAAAAAAAAATCTATTAAAGGCAGTCTAGTAATCCACTCGATGGTACTCATTACTTTTCATTTTCTTTGTCTTTGGTAGTCAAGTAAAGTGCGAAGCGCTAGTTGAGCTAGGACTTTCATGCGCTCAGTCTTTTCCTTCGGGCCAGGCAGGAAAGCCAAGAAGGGAGAAAAGCAAGTTAGTCAAACGGTAGCAAGCCAGCTCCCTCCCAGCCTCAGTCAAGTCGGTGGAAGACCCTCGCCTACTTAAATGCAGACGTTCTCCCTGAATATGTGATTGTGAAAATTGACAAAATGGTTCGTGGCTTTCTTTGGGGAGAAGGTGGTGGTAAAAGAAAACTGCATTCGTTTTTTTTGGGATAAAATGAGTTTGCCCCGCCAAAATAGTGGATTGAATATTCGGGATTGGCTTTGTTTGGTAAGTTAGGTTGGCGGATAATTCAAGAAACTGATAGTCTTTCGGTTGAGGTGGTGAGGAGAGCAAAGTGAGACTCTAAAAAAACGAAGCGAAGCGAAGTGTAGAAAAAATTTGGGAGAGGAGTGAAGGGAGGCGTTACCCCTGTTACAGTTGGAGTTAACGGTCCCAGTCTTTTCTGTTTGCGTAGGAGTTCTTCCTCTTGCACCATCGAATGCACTGAGAGAAGTTGCAGTGAGGAAGAAAAAGCTCTTTTGAGGGGCCTAAGAAACAATATGCTTTCTATATACCGAAGCTCTTAAACTAAGTCACGTAAGGTGATAGCGATCTCGTCGTTTGATGCTTTAATCGAAGCCTTGAAGGAGTGAAAGAGAGCGAATGTAACTTCCTTTTTAGTGTAGTGAAATTTGTTCTTGTTTCGATCAGAGAATTATCTGGTATTGCTGCTGTGATGGAAGTTCTTAGCTAACCAGTCAAGGTGGGAACCAGATGTCGACTAAAGGAGTTGGATTACAGCTATTTACTTCGGAAATGTGATAAGCTATAGCGTCATTCTTCCCCTCTTTTTTTTCTGGCGCGTTAGCCCTACCACTTCTTGTGAAAGGTCACAGAGCTACCTATTTATGAAGAGATACAGGGGACTCTGGCCTTATACTTCCCTACCCTTTTGCACCTACCTGACTCTATTTCGGAATGGCGCTTTCCAAAGGAGTTTCTCTTTCATAGTTGGCAATCCCTGGGATAGAAACACGAGTTCCGAGTTCCTTTTCAAGCTCCTATTTGACCCGTTCTTTTGGTACTTTGCTAACTTGACTCTCAAGTGCTCAAGCGAGGACTCTGATCTTCCCTTTCTCTGGCTCCTGATATCCACTCTATTATATGCCATTTCAGAAGTCACTCTCATAAGTGCTCTTGCTTTGGCACTTCAGTTGGGAAGATCCTAGTTTTGCTCTAACCTGAGTTCGACGCTAAATATGCAATCATCTGATCCCTCACGCGGATAGAAATACCAAAGAGATGCAAGAGATGTCGAGCACTGCAGGAAATAGAGCTCAGTAGTGCAGCAAATCTCATATAAGCAAAACGCAATATTAATAAAATGTATAATTTCAAAGATAAAGAGGTACGAGCCTATAGAACAGATCATGTTCAAGTTTGTGGCAGTCAGTCTGTTAATTGTGTTGTACTCTTGAACTTTGTAGCTTTCTTGATTATATTATATTCTTCGCTTCGAAAAAAAAAATGTATAATTTCAGACTAGAAGGTAGTAATTAGGATGGATTAATTAAGTTGTCAACCATTTGAAGAAAATGAATCTAAGAATGCACACAAGTAGCCTAAATGTGTCGATGACTCAATCTAAACAACTTCAAAAAAAACTAACTAATAAGTAATAAGTAGAATAAAAACCTTTGAGTCTTTTAATCAATATCACCATTCTTAAGTGTTAACTTTTAGTGTTGAAAGATTTATTTTTTGGCAATGAGTTCAAAAATAATATATTGAATACGTGTTCTAGCAATTATATGGAATAAAAGTGAAGTTCTCTCATTAATATTTATATGTTTTGAATATGTATATATTTTAAAAAAGATATGCATGACCTTATTAAGTTGTTTAATGTACGATATTGGATGTGCATGGACTCTGAAATGACATGAATGAAGTAAGGATCATCGAAGAGAGAAGAGAGAAGATCCACTTACCTTGTTCCTACCGCAATAATAGAAAGAAAATCATAAAGGAAGGAAATTACTTAGAAAAGACTCCACGCCTAAGGAGTCGCATATATACACTACTCGAAGATCAAATGAAAGCTGATGAAACTATCATCATTCACACAATATTCCCAGCATTCAATTGAGAATTCGAGCTCTTGTTTTTCTTTGAGTTCACGTTTCAGAAATTCGATGTTCCTTCAATGTCGAAGAACTGAATACGTTTTGTTTTACTTTTTCTTTTATTTCATTTAAACACCTTTTCGAGTACTTAGGGATTAAGTACTGTATTTTTGCTCGACGAATTTGAGACTGAAAGTCCACGAGACGTGGCCAGAGAAATAGTTGGTAGAATCGAGTGTAGTTGTGGCCATACTATAAGGGAGTTCTAGTTTTTGTAAGACCAAACTATACACTTGTTCACAATCAGTTTTCAAATGAAAGATCTCTGAGGGCTAGTGAGACTCTTCCCGAAGAGTTTATAATTCTTAATTTGTACTTCTGCTATTTCAACGTTTTTGAGAGTTGCAACATAAATTGAAAACTTATACACATTCCGTATTCTAACACAATTGAGTGCACTCTACTTTTTTTTTTTTTTTTCGAACGGCAGAGATCTCATATATATAAAGAAAACATTACAAAGGGAAAACCCTCATCCTGGGTCACTTAGAGGCCACGCCAACACGGCTGCCTATACCGAGACTAACAAAATACAAATGCGTAAACAAAGCAAATAGCTACACCAGATTCCATATCCAACAAGCTACTAAACTTACATAAGAGGCAAGATAGCATAAACAACTGACACGAGACCTAGTCCATCTATCTCCCTTCAACTGCATTATATATCGTATGTGAATTCTTTCCAATCCCTAAGCGCAGCTTGAAGGATCATGATCTCCGGCAATTTGTTGCCCTCAAAGACCCAAAGATTTCGTGCCCTCCAAAGCCACCATAATATATACGTCGAGAGCTGAATTCTATCCTCCGCCGTGTCATTCCCTTTCATAGTAGAGACCCACCACCACCATTCTTTGAATGTCATTTCATTACTCGGGGTTCTACTCCATTGCACAGGCGCCAAAGCCCAAATTCTTTTAGCTTGGTGGCATTGGAATAGCAAGTGTTCCTGGGATTCAACATCATCACCACAGACAGGGCAAACTACTTCCCCCATGATCCCTTTCTTCCTGAGATTAGTTTTTACCGGTAAAATATTGTTAAAACATCTCCAAATGAAATGTCTAACTTTATTTATAACCTTAAGTCTCCAGCATCTTCTCCACGCTTTTTTGTTCCCTAGGGCCATCAAGCTGTTCTCTGCATCATTCACATTACAGATTTTGGAGGTCATCAGATTAGAATACATGGCTTTTACACTAAAGTTTCCTTTGTCAGAAAAAGCGCAGCTCCATATGTCATCTGTGGTGGGGTGGAGGTCCTTGATTTTAAGAATTTCATTAGCATCCTCTTCCTTGAACAAAGCCCTCACAATAGTCACATCCCAACTCGTTCCCTGTGCCCACAATAAGTCTTTCACCTTGAACTGGCTGCCATCAACATCTGCACTAAGTTCAGGTTTCCTGCCACCTAAACCTGGGACCCAGTGCAACTCATTAATTCTGGTTTTTTCCCCATTTTTAATAGTAATGGACACCTTATTGAGCAGCATGGGGATCAAAGCAGACCAGGTTTTCCACAACCAGGAATCTCCACTGGTTTTTTTGCATTCAAAAATTGAAGAGCATGGGAAGTATTTATGTTTTAGAACCTGGCTAACTAACAGCTCCTGTTGAGAGAATATCCTCCAAACTTGTTTCAGAATCAAAGCTTTATTCATCAATTTAATGTCCAAGAAACCCATACCTCCTTCAGTTTTAGGGATAGTGATTTTGTCCCAAGCCCTCCAATGCAGTCCTTTTTGCTGAATATTGCCTTTGCTCCACCAGAATTGGGCAATCAGTTTATTCACCTCATTACAAACTCCTGTAGGTAGAATGAATACAGACATCACAAATATTGGTAAGGCTGACAGAACAGCCTTGATCAGCACCTCTCTCCCAGCCATAGAGAGAAATTTGTTGGTCCAGCTAGTGATCCTATTCCTTACTGCATCAATAACAAATTGGAAGACTTCTTTTTTAGACCCAGCAATTCCCAAAGGTAAACCAAGGTACTTAGAAGACCTTTTTACTACCACCCCAGGAAACAAAGAGCACATGAAGGTCTTGGTAGCTTCAGAACAATTTTTACTGAGGAACAAAGAGGATTTCCTCAGGTTAACCTTTTGGCCGGTGAATAATTGATAATTTTGAAGCACAGCAAGAATAGAAGAGGCTTGTCTTTCATCAGCTTTGCAAAATACAAGGGCATCATCCGCAAAAAGTAAGTGGGATATCAGGGGACCCCCTCTTGAAACACTGATACCTTTGAGACACCCCTCCCTGACTTTTTCCTCCATCAAAATAGAAAAGACTTCTGAGATCAACAGGAAGAGATAGGGTGACAAAGGGTCACCCTGTCTAATCCCTCTGGATGGTTTCACATAGCCGCTCACCTTCCCATTTAAGTTGAAAGAGAATGAGGAAGTTGTGACACAAGCCATTATCCATTTAACAAAACAACTATGGAATCCCATTTTAGTCATAATATGTCTCAAACTCTCCCACTCCACCCGGTCGTAAGCCTTCTCCATGTCCAGCTTTAGAGCCATAAATATGTTGGGACCAGAAGTATGCCTATTGAGGTAGTGGAAGACCTCATGTGCTATGACCACGTTGTCCAACATTTGTCTACCTTGGATAAAAGCACTCTGAGCAGGACTAATGCAAACATCGAGACAAGATTTTAATCTGACAGAGAGAATTTTGGCAATGATCTTGTAAAGGACCCCACATAAACTAATCGGCCTGTAGTTTTGAAGAGATTCTGGATACAGGCACTTAGGAATTAAAGTAACAATAGTGTGGTTCCAAGTTTTTAATATTTGCCCAGACTGAAAGAAAGATTTAATAGCTCTGCACACATCCCCTTTCAGAATATGCCAAAAGTGTTGGAAGAATGAAGCCGACATACCGTCCTCTCCTGGGGATTTATCCGGATGCATACTGAAAACTGCATCTTTGATCTCCTCTTCCTCTACTGGTCTGATTAGGGAGTTGTTCATGTCTTCAGTAATGGAATGAGGAATTAAAGAAATAATCCTGTTAGTTCCATGAGAGCCCTCTGAAGTGAAGAGAGAGGAATAAAAATCAGAGATGTGCTTAATTAGATCGGGTTCAGACACACAGAAATCCCCATTCCCAGTAATAAGTCTCTGAATGCTGTTCCTTGTCCTCCTTTGGTTAACAAAAGCATGAAAAAATTTTGAGTTTTTGTCTCCACCCTTGAGCCACAAGGCTCTTGATTTCAACCTCCAAAATCTTTCCTCCTCTTTGTAAGCAGAATTCAGCTCATTATTAGTCTCCTTCCATTCTTCCCAATTCCTATTCCCTCCGTCACTCCTTAACTGCTCCATTTTGGCATTGAGAGCTGTAATTGTCTTCTCGGAGTTCCTCTTAATTGGCTTCCACCAATTAAGCAATGCCATTCTGGTATTCCGGATCTTCTGCTGGACTTGGAACATAGGTGTACCTCCAGCTTGAATCTGCCAGCCACTTTCTATAGCCTGCTCCACCCCTTCCATACGGACCCAGCCACTATCAAACTGAAATCTTTTTTTTTGAGCAGGTCTCTCTTTGTCAGTGTTAAAAAGAATGACATTATGGTCTGAAGAATTCCGAAAGAAATTAGATGCTTCCATATTTGGAAATCTACTCAGCCATCCAATGGAGGTAAAAACTTTGTCAAGTCTCTCCTCAACATAGCCCTCTGCATCCCTATTGTTGCCCCAAGTAAAAAAAGCCCCCTTTTGATCCACTTCATGCATCCCCATGTTCATAATGAACTCATTAAATCCCACAAAACTGCTGGCAGGTCTGAGTCTACCCCCCCTTTTCTCCTCTCTGCAAGTAATGTCATTCCAATCACCAGCTATTGCCCAGTTATTACCCCATCTGTTCATATTGCTTTCTAAGAATCTCCACTGGTTGTTTCTGATGTGCCTGTCAGTACTCATGTACACCAAAATAATCCAAACCCAATCCACCATATCAGGCCCCTTAACTTCTACTTGCAAGCAAAACTCATTTCCCAGAACAACTCTTACTTCAGTATTGACATCCCACAGAAGAAGCAGACCTCCTCTGGTACCTTGAGGTTTTTCCAAGTGCCACCTATTCTCAAAACCTAACTTTCTACAAACGGTTTTGGTAAAATCAACGGACTTCTTAGTTTCAGACAAGAAAATTAAATTTGGGTGGTGGATCCTTCTGGAATCCTTGATCTGGGAAACTGTCGAGGGCCCACCCAGTCCTCTACAGTTCCACACCATGACTCTCATTGGTCACTGTGGGGCCATTTGAGGCTGGCCTTCTCCACCTTGATTAACTCCACTTTGGATTTTTTGCTAGGTTGCTCCATCTCCTTGTCAGTGCCTTCCTTTGGGGATAGCAATTTATCATCTTCTCTGGTCCTTTTATTGTTCCACTGATCTGTATCCTTTGTCTCCCCTTCATCATCTTTCTCACCACCTTCAGGAATATGGGCTATTCTCTTCCATGAAGCTTTTCTGATGGACTCCTTGGGATAAACTATAGTTGGACTGCTTAGGCCATCACTATAATGATGGATATTCTGAATCTTCTCTGACCTATCCTCATTTGGACCATTGATCAAAATATTCTCTGTTTGCATCTCCATTTCTGGACTTTCCTCAATGGTGGCTAGACACAACTGCATCTCTTCTCCTTCTAGGTCTTGATCAGTCTCCTTGATTCTATCAGGAGCTCCAACTGGTTCTTTTAATTTCTCCTCTTTTTCAGTACTCTGATTAAAATGTGAGTGAGCTGAATCATGTGATCCCAAGATGGAGTTATTTGGGTTGGTCTGTGGCATGTCACCTGCACTGTTTGAGGAGCTAAATCTTCCCATCATAGTGTACTCTTTCGCCTTGAGCCAATCTCCATATTGCCCTTCACAGAGCTTGTTGTTATCTATATCCTCCAGTCGGTTCAAGCAATTTTTATCCAAGTGGCCTATCTTCCCGCAGTAATAGCAGAGATTGATCAATTTTTCATACCGAAAGGAAACTGTCACCCTTTGGTCTCCCAGTTTAACATTAGTGCATCTCGGTAGTGGTTCTTTGAGATTGAGCAGAACTAGTAGCTTGAGATGGCTACCAAGCTCTCCCCCTAACTTGCAGACAACGACATTTTTCACCTTTTTAAAGACACTGCCAATCCTAATCCCCACCTCTGAGCTCATCCAATTAATGGGTACATTATGGACCTGGACCCAGATTTTCAGCTCTTCAAAGCATGGGTGGTTCCAGTGAAGGCCAGGCATCCATTCTTGAAGGATAAGATATTGGTTTTCAAACAGCCAATGGTTACCCGATGCCACCTTTCTCATATCATCAACTGAATTGAAAATGAATTGAAAAAAATTATGGCTCAATTCTTTGATCTCCCAAGATTGTTGAAGTTTCCAAATAATACTCAGCGTACGCTTAAGCCCTAGCAACCCTGCTTTCCTGTCGCCAAATACTTTCCCAAATAAACTTCTGCCGCATTCCTCGTCACTGACCTTAATGTCGTCAGTCTTTAGTTCCACGTCCCCCGCCTCCTTGGCCGATAATGAGAAAGTCTGGAATTTAGACAAAACTTCATCCCCAATTTCAATATTCCCCTTCACTTCCGACGCCATTACTAGATAAAAACACAATGCCAGACGAAATTGCAAGAAAAAAAACCTCACTAAACTCTCGAAACCCTAAAAACCCTCACTGAAGGAATGAAGATCTCAGAGAGAGAATTTTTGCTCTCAGAGAGAGAATTTTATTAGTGCACTCTACTTAAAATACCCACTAATTAAATGTGTCATTTTTTTTGTGATTTGCAATTTTATACCTCAATTTTGGATGGTTCGGAGCAACATATGTAAGTTTGTATTTTTATTTATACTCCTATATTATAAATATTTTTATAACACTTTTATATATGCTATTAAAATTTTAAAAGTTGTCAATATAATTTGCTAATTCTTTTTATTTTTTTTTTTGGAAATGCTACAATCTCGTTATATTCCGTCGGAATTTGTGACCGTTAGATCATCATGTAACTGTCGTAAATAGTTGATTTAACGATTACAAACCCCTACAGAATGGTTCTGTAACGATAAAGTAGAATCTCCAATTATTTTTATGTATCCTATTCCCATATGACAATTTACTTTAATATTTTTATCTTTCTTTTGATTGGGTTTAGGATTATATAGAGAGAACACGTACATTGTACGTATGCAATCAAATTCCATTCTCTCGCTTTAATCTGCCTACACACAACCCAACACACACAGATACAGAGACCCAAAAGCCTCTGCCCTCTACAGATTGAACTGTTGAACATCGTCGTTTTTGGAGGAAGAATGTCGTACGACTATCTCTTCAAGTACATAATTATCGGCGACACAGGTAAGGCAACGGTGACGCCCCTATAATCTTCATCTGAACCTTAAAAAAGGTTAGAACCCTAGTTAAAAAATTGACCTTTTGCAATCCGCATTCGCTTTTGTAGGTGTGGGAAAATCGTGTTTGCTTCTGCAATTCACCGACAAGAGGTTCCAGCCGGTGCATGATCTCACCATCGGAGTTGAATTTGGAGCTCGAATGGTCACTATCGACGGCCGGCCGATTAAGCTTCAGATTTGGGACACTGTAATAATATTTCTCCTATTTTTTCCACTATTGATTTTTTGGATTCCTAGTTCGTTTTCATGCTTGATTGGGCGGAGGGTGCCTAAAGTTTACATCTTTATTTATTTATTTTGATGGGTGGGGTGAGTTTGACATATGGGCATTTGATTATAGACGAACTAGTTCAAAGCCGATTTTGTGTTGGACAGCCAAAAGTGGATGTTATTATGCTGCAAACGTTGGAAGGTCCAAAAGGGGTTAGGGGAGGTTTACTTGTTGTTACAATTGTTTACTGATTTTTCTATGATACTGCGGTTCGGTATTCGGTTTTCCATGTCCAGTTGTAAACAATAGATACTGCTTTTGGTTTTTATTGGAACTTTATGCGAATCCTTAATTCTCCCTCTCTCTTTTTTTTCCCTTAATTTTTAGGCTGGTCAGGAGTCCTTCAGATCCATCACTAGATCATATTACCGAGGAGCAGCTGGTGCGCTTTTGGTTTATGACATCACCAGGTAGATGAATAACTATACTCTTCATATACAATTTTTTACTCTGTTTGACCTGTGTATGCCTCCAAAACATTGCGCTTGTACTCTTATGTATCAGCCATATGCTTAAAAAATAACTATTCTATTTCTATTTGGAGGGTCGTGATATTAGTTACACAACGTTTGAGTTTCCTATCAAAGTTTGCTTGTCTAGACCAATATTACCTGAAGGTATTGTTCACTATGGTGTAACTGGTAAATGAACTAAGCTCCAGTTCGCTTTCCGCATGATAGTTGGTGACTGATGTTGGATCAGTTATGCTGATCGTAATTTAATTTTTGTGTATTTTGCTTGCTGGCCATAGGGAAATATCATCAAATATATCTTTTTCCTGTGAAAGGGAATGATACACATTGTAGTGCAATCTTATATCATAGAATGTGTTATATTTGCCCCTCTTCATAGGGTGAGATTCTACATATAAATAAGTGTTTTCCCATTGACTGAGATTAGTGCCATATTTTGCTCAGGAGGGAAACATTCAATCATCTTGCGAGCTGGCTGGAAGATGCTCGACAACACGCAAATCCAAATATGACGATCATGCTCGTGGGAAATAAAGGTGATCTTGCTCATCGTAGGGCCGTAAGTAAAGAGGAGGGGGAGCAGTTTGCTAAAGAATATGGGCTTCTGTTTTTGGAGGCTTCTGCAAGAACTGCTCAAAATGTTGAAGAGGTTTAGAACAAAGAACCTATATTTATATTATCTTTTACCCTTTTCTTTTCCCTTTTTTCTTTTTCCCACTTTGATCTTGTATGCAGGCTTTTACCAAGACTGCAACCAAGATACTTCAGAAGATTCAAGAAGGCGTATTTGATGTATCCAACGAGGTAAAGCCCATGGGTCTATAGGGTCATTCTTTTTTTTTTTTTTTTTCTTTTCTTACGAAAAAAATAATGTGTTTTGAGCTTGTGAGCACAATCTTAAACGCATTCTTGCTTAAATTGTAAATTGCAGTCGTCGGGGATTAAGGTTGGCTATGGACGGGCCCAAGGTCCTGCAGGAGGGAGAGATGGTACAGTTGCTCAAGGAGGTGGATGCTGCAATTGACTGATTTATTTACTATGTTTTGTCTCAACCAATTTCATTTGTGATCAAATAAAAAAATCCTAATAGAAATGTACAGTTTAAATTTCTGGACATATGTGTAAAATATGACATTGGTGTGAAATATTATTCTTGAGGAATCATTTTTTTTTAACATTCTTGTCAGTATGTTATTTCCAGCATTTATGTGCTTCTGTAATCAAGAGGCTTACAAATTCACTTCATTCTTTGGGTTATTAATTATTAGCATTTCACAAATAGTGAATCATAAATCTCTTAGAGTAAAAGCAAAATCTGATTGAAGTTCTTATTCCCACTGTCGGCTTTTATATCCTTAGTCTGTTCCACTGTGTTTAGTTAAAAAAATAAATAAATAAATAAATAAAAAATCAGAAGCTCAATAAATGTAAATTTTTGCAACGAACTACTGAAGATCAATTCCATCTAACACAGACACAAATAACAAAAATCACTCGGTGTAAAATTTGGAGCCACTGCACGCGAAGCCTTGGATAACTGGAACTTCTTGAGCTGATCATGAAGAGCCACCAAAAACCTGTAATGGGCATAGGTTTAAGTTAGAAAACAAAATATCTTTCCGCAAAAGCAATAAAATGAGATGAGGGGGAAAGCGGGGACTCACTCCAGACAAGACATCTCTCGACAATTGGCCCTTATTTTCTTCAGCTTTCGCAACTGGTTTTTTCTGCGGAAACTGGCGGACCACTTTTGGCGTCACTTCAATCTTTTGCTTCTGCATTTGACAATTGTGTGCCATTGGCATCAACAGTTGGATAAAAAAAAAGGGATGCTCTAGAATCAGCTTGAAGATGATTATCCATTCACAATCATTGCAGGAGAAGATTATATTATATTGACCTCTTGGGGTTAAATAAATCACATAATAACCAATGCATCAAAAGTGGAAGAACACATTCAGTGTATTCACCTTTTTGAGCCGTTCTTCTATTTTACTCAAAGCTTTTGACTGATCAACTTTCGAGAGATAAAAGTCACGCTCTCTTTTAGCAGCAGATAGTTCCATCGCTAGTTTCTGTTCTCGAATGGCAGTCTTGTATGCTGAAACAAGAACATTTAATCAGATCATTCAATTTCATATGTGCAGCCTTGCACATTTAGCAAATCACAATATTAACGAGGTCATATACCTATCTCTGCAGTAAGATCATCCCATTTGAACTTACTCAGATATTTGATATTCCATAAATCATAGTAGAACGATGATCTTTTCTTTCCACCTAATGCCCAAAAAAAGGAACAGAAAAAAGACGAGTGTAAAAACACATGCCAAATTAGAAAATACATGATCAAGTCTCATGCTTTGCTTACTTTTGTCTACTAAAGGTCATGATGCAGTAGCATACGGCAGGTTTTTCGATTAAGTAAAGATTATTTTCGACTAACTAACAAGATATCATGCTTCAAAAGTACAAAATGCAAGGATGCAATTACATAAAATTAATTGAGCCGACATACCAATCTGTTCTCCATTCAACATCCTAGCCACTCTCTTAGCGACTTTCTTGTCTGAGAACTCAACCCATCTACATTGAAGAATACCACATATTTATTAGTCCAAAACTACTAAAGAATGAAGATACGAATATCTATAAGAAGTACAAATGAGAAGTTCAAAGCTTAAAGTCATATACACATCATTCAATGTATAACAAAACTGGAGATTAAACAAAAAAAAGAACAAAAAACAATGCATGCCCCTCTGAGAATTCTTGTCCGCGGAACCCTCCCGACTTTTTCCGACGCACTTGTGCAGCAGCATCTGCACACCAGAAATGGTTAATCATAATAAAAAACATTTAAAAATTGGTTGAAACTAATCTTAATAATTAAAAAGAAAAAGGGGCAACATACTACAACTAACCAATAACCACACAAACATTGCACTAACATCCCATGATCACCCACCTTAATGAAACTAAAAAAAAAAAAGATCATATTTTTAATATGAAGCAAACCAATCCATCCAGTCCAATGGTAAAAACTATGAAAGCTCTTACCTTCAGGAGCAAGATAGAGCCTCTGAATTTCTCCATACTGAGATAGAATCTGGCGAAGCTTGAGAGGATCCATGTGAGGAGGCACACGGCTCAAATAGCACACACCCCGCTTTTCCGCCCTTTCAGCTTCCTTTAGAAGTCGTTTTTTCTTTTTATCCTTCATTTTCTGCTTCATTTTTTCATTCTCCTGGGCTTCTTCATTGAAGCCAGAGCCATCGTTGCTATCTCTCGCCACCGCTAATTCTTCCTCCGCCATCTCTAGACAAATGACTTTTTTTAAAAGGACAAGAAACAATAAAGTGTGACCTAGGGATGGCAATTGACCAGGTGAGACCTGGCCCGATTATCTTACCCGCGAACCCGACCTGGCCTGTGACCCACAACAGGTCCAGCAGGTCGGGCCCGCGACCTGGCCCGCTCCTGGGGAGGTCGGCCCGGCCGGCCCTTCCCGTGAAAGGTGAGATATTTTACATAGGACTTTCAGTCTTTGAACACGGCAATAGCAGGACCAAGCTAGTAGTTGGGAATCAACTACTTTAGAGCTTATCACAGTAGCAGAAATTACACTAAACATTTGAAGTTTTTTTTTTTTTAAGCTCAGATGATTATTAATTGCACAACGAATTCACCAAACAAACAATTGAGCCGTGAAACAAATTCATCCACGAAAAACGAATTCACCAAACCAAGCTCAAAATAAAGTAATATACCTTTGAAAGTTGCGATGGAGGCGAGCCAGACACGGAGGGGGTCCAGATATGGGGACGGGACAGGGACGGCGGAAGGCCGGCGACCGAAGCGGGACAGGGACGGCGGCAGGCCGGCGACGGAAGCAGGCGAGAGACGGAGAGGAGCGATAGATAGGGACGGGACAGTGATGGAGGCGGGTGATAGACGACTGAAGAAGCCGCTATGGCGTGGTCTTGCAGCGGGCACGCGGCGTGAAGGTTAAGACCAACGAACGATGATGGCGGGTTGCGGCGTGAGTTTGGGTGACCAACTGAATTGGGGTGGGAGTTGAATGTTGATGAATAAACCCTATTAATGTTTTTAATATTATAGTATATGCTTGTTAAGAAATTTATATTTAAAATTATTTTTTAAAAAAAAATATTTTTAAAAATCTATATTATTATTATTATTATTATTATTATTATTATTATTATTATTATTATTATTACTATTATTATTATTATTTATATAAAAAATGACACCTATAACATCATATATTATAATAATCTTTAACACATATCATATACCTAATTTGTAGTTAAATTAATTTAAATACTTATTTTCATATAAATAATATTAATATATAATTTAATTTTTATCATAAAGATAAATATAACTATTTATTTATTTTTGTATACATATGTCAAAATTTAAGCACATCAAGACATGATTAATTCAATATATTATATATGTATTGATAATAAATAAAGAAATTTGCTTAAATATATTTATAATTTATGTTAGTATCTTTTTTATAATTATAAAAGAAAGATGAAGAAAAAAGAAAGATCTGAGAAAAAAAATATATACTTATATAATGAGGTATCTTATTTACTAAAATTAGTAGTAAAAAAATAGATCAGCATTTAATGCAGTCCATAAATAGTAGTTTTATTATTTTTATTATTTTTTATTTAAAAATCATAGAATTTAATTTATAAATACGCTCTAATATAATCATACAATTTAATTTTTAAATGATACAATTTAATTTTTTTCTTAAAAAATACGCTTTAATATACATATATATATATTTATATAGTACTTTTTGTAATAAATTTGAATAAAAACGTGTTACTTAAATATGTAAACAATTTAGAAATTCAAATGTTTAAATTAATCGATAAACAAATTATAAATCTCTATATTTTTTTTTCTCTCCCAAAACGATAGAGGTACTATATTAATAAAAACCACACAACGAGCGAAGAGAAGCAGCCAAAGACTGAATAGTACAACCGAAGACTGGAAAAACTGAGAGGCAGATCAAAAGATCGCCTAAAGCCTGACCTAGCAACGCTAGAATAACAAAGCTCACAATTCACAAACTACACCAACCAACCACACCGACACAAACTAAAAACTAAAAAACAAGACTCCCAACAGGAGAATACCTGAGTGTTGGCTCCCAACAGGAGAATAAATTTGACACTCAGGCGCACAGAGGCCAAATAGCTCATACAAAAAACACAAGACACAAGAACAATACTAACACAAACACGAACAGAAACAAAAAAAACTAAACAACTAAATATATACTAAATAGAATATGGCCCTCCCCAGCCAACGCACAAGCTCAACACCAGTAGAGAAACAGTCGGTCTAAGAAGATCCCAAGCCCGAGGAACAACTACCGAAACTGCGAGACCGCCTATACAGCAACCGAACCCAAACTCCGTTACCATCTCAAATCAACCCACCATCAACCGGTAGAACAAGACCGGATCCCGGCACGAGCACAACCCGACACGCCTAACACCACTAGCCGAAATCGGGAGCACCAGACCCCACTTTCCCCAACACCATAGGACCAGTGGGGTGAGAGTGGCCCTGCTCTACAACCACAGCATCCGCAACACCGGGTGTCGCAGCCACCAAGGTCCCGTTCTGACCACCGACACCCCCACCACCCAATCTCGCCACTCGCTGCCGGAAAATGGACCCTCGCACTACCCTCGGAGGCCCCAACATCAGAGGCGACCAGAGTACCTCGAACGCCAAATAAGAGGAAGATCGAGGGGCAGAACCCCTCCAATCGAAGACCCAACAGCGGGGAACGACCATCGAATTCAAATCTAAGTCCCACCATCCCAATCGGGGTCTCGATGACGACCGAGGGCGGCGAGACCATCTCCAACAGCTACAGCGAAAAGGGGAAGGTTGACGTCAGGGACGGAACGGCCGGTCAACGACGACCACAGGCTCGAGCCTCGCCGTCGACGAGGAGGCTGGAGCGGCACAAATCGGCTTCTACAAGAGGGAGGAGAGTGTTTCGTCAAAATCGCAAGAGGAGGAGAGGGTTTTGACCAAAAGCCTACAAATCTCTATTTTATTTAAATTTGTAATTTTATTTAAAGTAATTTTAAATATAGCCAAATCTATACTTATATAAAAAAGTCATCTCATTTACTAGAATTAGTAGGAAGAATAGTCAACTCATAATTAATTGCACACCATGTTTATAAAGTTTTTAGATTTCTTAAATCATAAAATAGGGCAGCATTAAATGCCTCTAAAATTATGGATTTTGTTGAATTCATTTTTAATAAAATTTGCCTCTAAATATACATGTGGTTTTGAAGTGAAAATTTGAAATTCAAAATCTCTTCCTATTTTAGTTGCAAGAAAATCGAGTTGCACTCAACACTTGGACCAATTTAAAAATTATTCCTTAAATGAATGAATTTATAGATAATTGTTATCTCTACTCAATAACATGATTATTTTCAATATAAAATGAGACAGACTACAATCATATATTATCTAATTCAATATATTAACATTAAGAAATAAATTCATAGTATTATGTAAATTCGTATCTCATACTATTATATCATTAAGAATATATTATAGTTATATTATCAAATCATAAAAAGTTATTAAATCCATATCGTAAAAAAAAAAAAATCATATAACTTTATAACAATTCTACTACAATATTTAACAATATTTATTTTTATTATATAATAAAATAATAATTAAATATTATATGGTGAACAAGAATAAATAAAATTGTTACTTTCTCTTATATCAAGTATTCAAGTTATAAATCTATATGTTAAAATTAAATTTTTATTAGTATAAATATTTTAGTGAGATAATATATTAACTATTTTATAAGCTAGCTCTAACATGGTCATATTTAATATTTTGGCTAAAAAACAACGATGGTTAAAAGATGTAGAAAAAAACTTATAACTCTATTGTTTTTTAGACTTACGTTGATTAAAAGAGGTAAAAAATAGATAATAACCTTATTTATTACTTTTTAGACTTAAACGGACAAAGCTTTAAAAATAACTCATTCAATATTTCTGTCTCGTGCATCGCACGGGTTACGTACTAGTTATACCTTATACACCCCATCTAGAATAGAAAATAATTTTACAACATAATTAATGCCCTTCAACAAATTCATAAATGTTTGGTATATACATGGATATTAATTTCACACCTAGTTAATTTTGGATTGAAAGTGAATTAAAATACGCAAGCCAAATGACAAATAATTAATGAAAATATGTCACATAAGATTATAAAATGTGCGACATTGTCATTTAAGCCCAACACATTAAAAAACATGGGAGATTGGATGAAAACGGATAACAGATTGAATCTAACTCAACCCGCTAAAAATATAGGATTTGACCTAGCCAAATACGACGGATTAGGCGAGTCGGGTTCATATTTTTCTTTTTTTTTGTCATCCCTATCCATTGTAAACATCTCCTAAACACCAAGTAAGCCTTAATTAGACTATATTTGGTAAAACTAGCTGATAGCTAATAAGCTTGCTTGTAGCTTATATGTAATTTTCAAGCTTATAATTTATAGCTTATGACTTATAGCTGAAAGCTAGTTTATATGATAAAAGTGTTTAGTAAAATTAGCTAGTAAACTAGCTGAAATAAAAAATTCAACTAGTTTATTTGAAAAACTACATAAAGTAACTTATGAAATAAGCTCGAGCTTAAAAAGCTCGCCGTATCAAACAAGGTTTATTTCAAGACATGTAGATTATAAGCTAACCAAATAAGATATAAGCTAACTTATTTGGCTTCCAAACATTTAATATTGGATGATCATTTAATTTTGTTTTTATTGACCGGTTAAAATGATATAGAGTTCTAATGTCAAAGTCTTGATTCAGGTTTGAGCTTCCAAACTAGCTATGGATCCACCTATGATACTTGCGTTCCAATTTTGATATTGGATTAGAGTACTTTATTATATACATCAATGATTGATAAATAATACAAATACTTATCAACCATATTCAACATTATCCATAATTTTAAATTAACATATCATACTTCAACCTGTCAACAAAAATAAAAAACAATAAATTCAAATAATTAATAAATAAAATTATAACCAGCCACAGCCCATCCTCATTCACTCGGACCACATTAATATCCTAATTAATATTACAATCATTCCATAAAACCATTATTAATTAATTAATCATAGTAATTGAACAAATTATTAAACCCAGAATTAGGAGGCCGATTTTCCTAATTAACACGATAATTATTTATTAGCATATATGCTGCAATGGAGTTGGAGTGACCTGCATGAACAAATAGTTCCCAGCAAAAAGATCTCCAAAATGTGACTGACTTTCCTTTAACCTCTTGCAGACTTTCTTCCAAGCAAACTTCAAAACACGGGCTTTTCGCCTCAGGAACCGTCTTAGGCTCGGGATCTTGAGCCTCTGCTTTCGCCTGGTCCGGAGTTTTCCGAGCCTCGAACTTCTTGACCTACGGATAACCTTCTCTAGAAAGGAATTGTAGTAACGGTTTTCGCGTTTTTGATCGAGCCAAGTTTCGTATTTCAGTTTACGGTAAGGGAGATTGGCGGTCGACGCCATTGCAAGGTACGTAAGGGGATGATGAAGAGAATGATATTTTCAACTGATTTTGAAACTTTGAAGAGAATGAGAACAAATAAGGACCATAAGTTGAGTTGTCTTTTTCACGTATGCTTAGCTTAGCTTATTAGTTGGTTATTAGGTTTGTAATTTGTTGGTGCATTTATTGCATTATTTTTTTTATTTTTTTTACGAGAAATTAATGAGAAATAATAAAATTTTGATTCTGTAATAATTTAAAATATTGTTTTGTAATGAGATTGGTAGAAATATTTAATTCTTGAAAGATAAAGTCAGAAATTTAAATAAAGACAGACACAGAGTATTAATTCTGGTCTAGCTCATTCATACACACATTTACACACAAATGTTATACTTTAAAAACATTATATAAATAAAAGTATGCAATTTTATAGTACAAGTATGCATTTTTCATAATAAAGTAGTTACAAACAAAAGAGTTTTTGATGTATAAATAGTAAGTAATGCTTCTCTCATCAGAAAATGATTGTATGTTCCAAAAACCGTGTTTAAATTCATGGGTTTTGTTCCATTGAACGAGCGAAAAATTTATAACAGCGACATAATCATGGATATGTGACATTCATCCAATAGAATGAAACATAAATTGAAACAATTAGGTCGTCACACTTTTAAAAAACATTAGTTTCAAACTACAATGTAAGATTCTTAAAAAAATTGTATAAGCAAAATTATGACATTTCATAATATAAGTATGCATTTATGTTCAATAAGTGTAATGGATCAGACTCGTTTAATGAATAGAATTTGTAGAGATAAAAGTATATAGGAAGTTGGGCATTTAGTGCAAGGTGCTATGTTTTGGCGACAAAGAGGCCTACAATTTTAATGAGCGTGTCATATCAAAATTAAATAATTAATGGTACAATATTGAGTAGGACATGCAAGTTGGCATTTTATTTTGACTATCTCAAAGAAGAGTAAAAGTTAAGTGACGGGTTAAATGATTTAACGATTACAAACTTTTACAGAATGACTCCGTAACAAAATCGTAGCATTTTCTAATTTGAAATTTTCAAATCCATTCAATTTTGACTAGAAAAATACTACTCTCTTACTCTAAAATTCTACTCCTCTTTAATTCATTTTTACCGGTCATTTGTCAAATTGGAGTAGGGGCCATTTTTTATTGGAAAAATCAATCAAACCGAGTTTATTTAAATACATAAATTTTATAAACTAAACAAATAAGTTACAAGTTAGCTTACATGCTTATCGGGAGGCACAACGAGGCAATCATGACAATTGATGAGACATACCCGACCATGGCGAGACGAGAAGGTTGACGAGATGAACAACTCAGAATCGTTCGTCCAATCTTGTAGGCCGTGTATGTCTGTACAAAGTCTGCAAATGTTAAACGATATGCATTCAAACCCTAGCTTATAGAAACCTATTGTGCTTAGGGTTAGTTTGTAAACAATCCTTAACTTGCATAATTTCGACGTTTTTAACCAACGCCGAACAAGTGGTAGTTGCTTTTGTAATTTGATGATCTATTGCACTATTGATGATACATATTAACATTGAAAAAATAAAAAATAAAAATCAGAATTGGTCAGCATGGACTGTCCTTCAAGTCTATATTCCTACTTTCCAAATTTGTATAATGAATCAAAATTAATTGAATGGCCATTTTGTTAGAGGGCCTATTATTATTGAGGCTTTTTGCCCCATTAATCATGAATATAAAGCTACAAGAAAACTCATTGTTTTCTATGTGGCCCAAAAAAAAGTAAAGCAAGCTCATGTTTGGTCGTTCTTATTTTTCTGAACGCAAGTTTGGTAATAATCACGTTTTTTTTTTTTATTATTATTATTATAAAAAAAAACATTTGAAGAAAGTTTAAAAAAATTGGTCAAAATATCGCATAAGATAACAGTGTATAAAAGGGTATTTATTGATACCTTTTTCATTCATCTCATCAAAACGCGGACGACTTCAAAATACAAAAAATAGAGAAAATATTATGGCACCCTTCTTTAATACAATCGACGCCGTCAACAGATCCAACAAACCATTTTTGAGATTGAGAGTAGTCCTACTGATGGAAACTCATGACGATCTGGAGCATCCAAATACTTTTCACATCATGTTTCATGATGAAGTGGTAATTATTCCAATTGATTTGTCAATAAAATAAATATTCATAACTAATTTAATGTTTCATTTCATGTTTGATTATTTTTTTCAATTTTTTCGATAATTAAAAAATCTAGGGTTCATACATCACTGTAATAGAACAGAAATATTTTATGTTTCACGAATTAGGACCGAGATTATTATGTTTCACAAATAATTCATATTATATTATTAAATGTAAATATTTCGAAAAAACTTTTTAGGACTACTACCACTATAAATAACCCAAAAATCATAGATTCCCCCAATCAATCCTCACGTCTTCAGAACAAATTCTTCTCCACGTAAAAAAATAAAAAATAAAAAAAAATAAAAAAAAAAAAAAA